CTGACTTCATGCAGCCAAAAACACCCGAGCCGTATGAGGCAGGTTGGGGAGACACGTCCGGCGTTGTGTCCTGAAGCTCAGCTCAGAATGAGAAAACCTTTATTTATGTCCAGTCTGTGCGTCCACTTAAACGACGTTAGATTAATTTTCGGAAACGTGTTATAAACAAGTCGCAGTCGTGACCTGTGAGCAGGAGAAGACGTTGAAGAAGATGAGGAGCAGCTCGAGAAGGAGGAGGTGACTGACCCTGACCTGACTGACGCCTGCCTCGGTGATAGGCGTGGATGTCGTCCAGCCGCGGAGACGCAGATGACTTCTTCAGGTGGTCCTGCTCGAACTGAGGAGCTGAAACACAGGAAGTGATGTCACTCCATCTGCAGAGGCTGAAAACTGTTATATAAGCATGCTGAATACATGTGTGTGTATGTGTGTGTGAGACTCACACTGACAGAAGTTGTCTCCCAGGACCTGCCTCGCCTGGAAACAATCAGTGAATCAGTCAGACGTGTGAGCAAAGACAAATTCTCACATTAACCAGGTGAGTTAAATGAACAGGTGAGACTCGAGTTAGCTGAGTCAGTGTGTCCACTGTAACCTGGTTACGAACATGGATGTATCACCATCCTGCTCATGTTACAGGACATCTGCTGCTCCTTACTGTTTACACCAGCAGGGGGCAGCAAAGATCTACAAAAGCTGCTAACGCTCTTTACTAAACTCTTTACTGCTGCTGGGAGCACGACTACATACATGTTTTCTCGATCTTTGCTGTGAACATTATAAACAGCTGCTCAGGTACAGATCGCGCTCTCACTGCAGCAATCAGTCCAATCAGCTGCTCACAGAGGCCGTAAAGCCACCACAGCCAGGTCTACTCAACAATCGGATCTCCTGTGAGCAGCAATATGCTTCAAACCACAGTGATCGGTGCTGAACTTCACCTGTGGGCAGGTAAGAGTCAGCATCTAACCTGAGTGTCTTTGGATGGTGGGGAGAACATGGGAGCTTCACACAGGAAGACCAGGACCTGCTTACCTTGTGTGGGAGTGATGCGGGATGGTTTTCGACAATCAGCCTCTTGAGGTAGTGCACCCACAGTCGCTTCTCCTCCTGATTCTTTGTCTGCAGAACAAAAAACAGGATCCAGATACAAACAGTGAGGTCGCTGCATCTGAGATCCAGATTTAAGGCGGAGACTCGAGGTTTCCCTCACCTGGACGACATGCTGCTGTTTGGGAATGGTCTGGTCGGACACTCGGAAGCACAGCGGGTCCTTCAGATTCTCCACCAGCAGGAGATTACAGCACTGCAGGTGGAGGAGCAGACAGAGACAAACGTGAGGATCCCTGAAGGTCAGAGTATCGCTGTGGCGATGAGCCTCTGTTTCCTGGGGGGGTCGCATGTGTGTTTGTTGTGATGCAGCAGTGCAGACACAACCCACGACGGCCTCAAACGTGTTGCTACTTACAAAAATATGTGTGCTGTAGACAAACTGCTCCATCCTCTTCTTGGCAATCAGCAGCATTTTATCGAACAGGAAGAACGCTCTCTCCTTCTTCACTCTGTGGACTTTAAAGGAACCTTCAAGAACCAGCTCGCCGAACCCGCTGAGGTCCGGCCCAGTCCAGTTCACCAGCAGGGCCTCGATTTCCTGGAGAGAGACATCGGTGAAAGGTCACAGGCTAACCACAGTGGAGTGAACCCGACCTAAACCTGCTGATCTGCACCGATCCTTCATCTTCAGAAAGGTTCTTTGGAAAAGCACAGCGTTCTCTAGAGAACCAATGAGCACCTTTAAAGAGCTGCATCCAGATCCAGTTTTCTCAAAATGCCTGCATGGGTCACAAAATTCTCAGCGCTGAAGGCAACTGGACGTCTTTAGGTTCTCAAAGCAGATGGGGGTCCCAACTATGCAACAACTAGCTAGGTAACATGCTAACTAAGCTAACTTGCTAACTAGCATCAATTTGCTAGTGATTGCGCTCCAAAGCTCAGCTAAATCTGGTCACAAATAGGTCAAAAACCCATGTTAACGATGGCTAACATGCTAACAATGAAACCTACAAATATGGATCCACAAACTCATATGGTAGCTGTGTCCATCTTTCATATACAGTCTTTGTTAATAGCTGCTGAATGGTAGCTGGTAGACCAAAGATGTCGTTCTACATTGTTAGCCACATGGACCGGACTAGTGAAACATCCTGAAGTGCTGAAGGCAACTGGACATCTTTAGGTTCTCAAAGATGTTTCACCTCAGACCTGAAAGGCTTCATCGGTTCTCAAAGCAGATGGGGGTCCCAGCTATGCAACAACTAGCTAGGTAACATGCTAACTAAGCTAACTCGCTAACTAGCATCAACTTGCTAGTGATTGCGCTCCAAAGCTCAGCTAAATCTGGTCACAAACCCATGTTAACGATGGCTAACATGCTAACAATGAAACCTGCAAATATCAATCCACAAACTCATATGGTAGCTGTGTCCATCTTTCATATACAGTCTTTGTTAATAGCTGCTGAATGGTAGCTCGTAGGTAGACCAAAGATGTCCAAGTCGGACTAGTGAAACATCCTCATTCTGTCAGTGTAAAGACGTTTAACGGAAACATCGTCATCTAAGAAAAAGACGAGTAACTTCAACAGGACATCTCAGATTTCGCAGATAAAAAAATCAGTGAAAGAAATCTGTCAGCATGGTTCTTTGAGCTGTCGGGAGTAAATGTGGCATTTTGTTTTTTATTGTGGACTCGTCGTAAAAAGCTGAACTATCATGAAAAACAGGAACTTTCATGTTACTTTGAGTAGTATCAGTGCCCTCCTTCACATCTTCCAGAGCCATCTAGTGGGCCACTTTAGAGTCTTTGGTGGGCCCATTCTGGCCCCCGGGCCTAATGTTTCTCAGCAGCTTTTTTCACGTTGGGGTCCTGCGTGATCATCGTTACCTGCAGCCGCACAGCGTGCTCCTGTTTCCTCTTCATGTCGTTGATGTACCAGGCGACTGCTGTCATGGTGACGATGGCATCCTCCACGACCTCATATCCGGGCTCGCTCTTATCAAAGTGCTTAGAAAGTTCCTGAAACGAGACGAGACCCGCACATAAAAGACAGCTCGCACTCTGAGATCCTTCCCCGCTCCGATGCTCCGCCTGCTGAGGCCAAAACACAGACGGGGATTTCTCAGAGCGTTAGATAAACTGTGGTTTGTGTCCTCGTAACTTTTACTCAGTTTGCTTTGACGTCTCTGAGACCACCGTGAGCACGAGGACACGAAGCATGATTAACCCTTAAACTGCCACCGAGCGCCCTCACCGTGCGGCTCTGTGGCGCACATTG